CAGCCCCGGCCCTGGAGAGAACTGCGGGGCGGTCGCGGCCTGCACCGTGGCCACCTCCTGGCCCCTCCGGGCCGCATGACGTCCCCACGCGGCCCAGCTGAGAGTGAGCGAAACCCAGCAAGGGCCGAAGCGCGAAGGCAGAGGGCGGGCGCGAGGCTGAGCCACCGCAGCTCCGCGGGACGCTCTGTGCGGGACGCATCCCCTCTCCCTTCCAAAGGAGGGCACCGCTACGGGTGTCCTGTGGGCGCCTGCGGCAGAAGGCTGTCCTTGGGGACAGGGCCAGGACCACATGAGGCCACCCGGCCCTCCTGGGGCAGGAGAGGGATCTTATCCAGGTCAAATATGATTAAGCAGATGAGGAACTAAACAGATCTAGATGAGCTGCAGTCCATCTCATGCACTAACCGAATTGGAGCTTTCCAGGCAGCCAAACAAATGAAATCAGGGCTGGACACCTGGCCATCAGCTGCTGATCCCTGCGATCAGGCAGGAACAAGACTTTGCGCAGGAGAGAGAAGAGCGAGCAAGTGAGAAGGAGCAAGAGTCTTCTGCAAAGACTAGATCTCTACGGGAAGATGAATCCAAATCCCATCTTCTCGTATTTCTCCTTCCCCTACATGCATCATCCCTATTTACACTGGGAAGCCAAACTGCAGAGGCTGCTCGTTATAATTATACATTTACCCGGCAGATACACAGGCCTGAATCACCAGTTATTTTTAGCCCTATTACCTAGTCAACTGGAGCTGGATGAAGAAGATCCTCCACTCGTCCCTAGCTCCAGCCCCGCTCCGTTAGCTCCCGTTGGTGTCGTGCCCGCTCCAAGCAGCAGCACCAGCATCCGTGGGCCTCCCTTCCAAGGCCGCTGCCTCCTGTTGCCTGAGGCCGAGATCCAAAACTCACCTCCACAAACCCAGAAAGGCTGCGAGGCTTCGCGCCGCGGGCTCTGCTCCAGGCAGCTGAGGTACTTGCAGAATTCCCTGGCCCTTCCAAGAGGGGCTCCCAGCTCGTGCCAGGCTACAATTACAAGGAAGAGAACAACTTGCTTGGCCAACTCTAGCAATGACGGTCTGCAGTGAGAGCGCTCCCTCCTTCAGAGGGCTTGCCATGAGGCTAGTGATGCCCAAAGTTACACCGCTTACAGCCCATCAGTCTTTGCAGCAACAGAGCAACGGGCCTGGTGCTTCAGACACCTTGACGACGTTGCATCGAGGTCTCCTCCACCAAGAGATTTGCCCAGCTTCATACAGCACAGATTCCTCGGCCTTTCCCCAGCAGAAACCATTGGCTTCTAAAGATCTTTGGGTTCCTTTTTCCAACACTTGACCCAGCCGGTGCAGACTCACCGCCAAAAAGCCCTGTCCATAGGCAGGACCTTGAGAGCTCAAGGTGAAAGGCTGCTGTGCAGAAGAGCTGCACAAAAGCTCCGGGGCACGCGAGTTTCTTGGAAAGAGGCAGCCCCCCCGCATGGGAGCGGACAAAGAGCCCTGCTCCCGTTCCCGGAGCGCACCCGGGTATCACGTTTGCGCAGGAATATGCCACCTCTTTAGGAAAGAACGAGCCGATTTTCTCTCATGCATTGCAAATTCCAGGAACGAACAACGCTGGGGGATTCTGGTTTTTGCAGCGTGGCAGCGAGGTGCTAGTCTCTAGGAGACAGAGGCTGTTTTAGATGATATATCATGCAGCATGACACCAGCACGGGACCCCAGCCCACGCCAGCAAAGCTGGGCCACCAGCGACACCCCAACCCGTTATTGTCTTAAATAAAAGCTGAACAGCAAGGGCCCACCCACACCGCACTGAAAAAGCACATGAATAATTTGGCATATTCTGGAAAACGAGACACGCTGGTCCCGCGAATGCCCTGCAGTGCTCCGAGCCGCGCTGCCCACGTCGCCGCGCGCCAAGGAGGGCGGCACAAGGGGAAGACTGGAGCACGCCACGAGGAATGGGGCAATCAGCCCCCCCAAACAGGTCCTTCTCCCTTCAGCTACATGGGCAACTCCCTGGGGGACCCCTGTGGTCCCCGAGGCAAGGCTGGCCCCTGCTTAGCAGAGACTGGACCCCAATGCGCTACAGGGTGGCCCCAGCACTGTCAGAGTGACTTTCCCAAGGGTGTTTTACACCCCGGATGAGCCATCCCATGGTCCCGCACGTTGCTGGAGGGTTTCTCCAAGGAGCCCATCGCAGCAGGCCAGCGCATTCCCGCTTTGCGTGAGGACAAGCTCCCCTGCACCCAGTGCAGGAGCCAACAAGTGAACCAACAAGTTGCAGGGAGGGAAAGCAAGCGCGAGCGCCGCATGTAATCACCACTGCAGAACAGGGCTTGGAAAGGGCCCTGGAAGCAGCGCACAGCCACACTCCTGTTTTCAGGCTGGTGCCTTTGCAGGGTACAAGCCCAGGAGGGCTCTGCTGCCCGGGGCGCCTGCAGGGCCGGGAAAAGAAGAGGGTTGAGGAGAAGGGAGGGGTAGGTGGGGGGGGCCTCGGTCTCTCCTGGCCCTAGGTGGGGTTCCCCCCTTGCAACTCTGTGGGATAAAACACAGTCCCTTGAGTTATATATCGAGGGGAAAGCCAGATTTTCAACATTGCCCCCTCTGCCACAGGGCAGGAAAGGTGCCACAGCCGAGCGCAGGCAGCCACAGGCTCCCAGGGGCTCCCTGGCCACCAGGATGGGGGCTCTACGGTCGGGGGAGGATGGCAGGGGAAACTCCAGCGGGACAGGCAGAAAGGCCGCATGGAAACGGGGAAGGCGCAGGACCGAGGCAGGCTGCCCGCCTCCCTCCTTCCCCAGCCACCGGCATGGCTTCCAAATCCAAGCCCCAGGAGAAGCCCGGGAGCCCCGGGCAGGCTCAGCTCCCCGCCACGCACCGAGCAGGGAAGGAAGGAGGAGAAGGAGCCCCGAGGGAGCAGGGAAGGAGCAGAGCAGCCCCGGAGGGGACAGGACGCCCGGGCATCCCCCTCGCGCACTGGAAGCGGAGCAGAAGGCAGCGCTTACCTGCCGGCTGGAGCCGCACGTGTGTGTCCAGGAAAGGCACCGAGGCAAATCCAGGAGCGAGGGGAGCCAGCAAGGGGCACGCAAAGGATATGGCCAGTCGATGAGCTTCTTGGCGTATTTCCTGACTATGTTCTCTTCCCCAAAGAGGAACAGCGATCTGTTGACAGTGAAGCAGTTCTGCCGGACGGGGATGGGGTTGTACAGAGCCATAGTCCGGGCTCGCTGCGCTTTGGTTTGCTTGAAGGCTCCTGGGGTGCCTCCCGCGGGCGCGGGAGCTCCTGGCCGGCCCCGGTTCTGCTCGGAGCCTCCGTCTGCGGAGCCCAGCCTGCCGGCCACGGCCTCCCCGAAGCGAGCCATCCTGGAAGAAAACACACAGGTGAGCCCAAGCAGCAGCAGGGGGGCTCGGGGCGCAGCCCCCTCCTCCGCTCCCGGCGCTGCTCCG